GTACTGCTGCTAACTGAAAGGTGGGCAGTTCAAACCCACTAGCTGCTCCACAGGAGAAAGATGTGCCAGTCTGCTTCCTTGGAAACCTTATGGGGCAGTTCTATTCTGTCCTATAGGGTCTCTACGAATCAGAATAGACTCTACGGCAGTAGGTTTGTTTTATTTGCTTTATTAGGGCAAAGGTATACTTGGGGTCCCTGACTGGTGCAAATGGTTAACATGCTTGGCTGCTAACCAAAAGGTTGGAGGGTTAAGTCTACCCAGAGGTGCCTCAGAAGAAAGGCTTCGTGATCTACTTTTGAAAAACCAGCCATTGAAAACCCTATGGAGCACAGTTCTACTCTTGACACACATGAGGTCACCATAGTCGGACTTGACAACTAGTAGGGCGAGTGTGTGAGTTGAGGGGAGGAACTGTGGTGCCATTAGAGGCCACTAGGTACATGTGGCTACGGATCACTTGAGATACGTCTGGTCTGAATTGAGATGTGCCGTAAATGTAAAACACACACTGGATTTTGAAGACTTAGAATGAAAAAAAGAAGGTAAATGATCTCCTTAATAATGTTTTATATTGACTACATGTTGAAATGATAATATTTTGGATATATCAGGTAACACAAAGTATATTATTAAAATTAGTTTCACCTGTTTCCTTTTTACTTTTTTTCACGTGGCTACTAGAAAATTTAAAATTACATCTGTGGCTTGTGTTGTGTTTCTATTGGATAGCACTGCTTCAGAAGGAAGAAGAGACACGAACGAGAGCTGATTTTCTGAAGCCCATTCCCGTGTGGTCTGCAGAGTACCCACCTCTCCCGGGCGGACTCCGACACACAGCCTGTCCACTGCTGGGCCGGAGGTGCCGGAATAAACCTGCAAGGGGCAGAGAAACTGAACTTAGAACTGAGACAGGATTAGTGCAGGGACGGGAAGAGGCAGCAAAGAGGAAAGGATGGTTTAGGAGAAAAGTAACAACCAGGAAGTTAAATATTGACACAGGGTGGGAGAGGTGCTGAGTGAAAGCATGAGAAAGAAACGCTGGGGGTCCCATCCCCGGGAGCTGAGGCTCAAAGCTGGCCCGCACTGCGCAGAACTGGAACGGGGAGAGGTCAGTGATATTCAGGTGGGGTGGCCCCCTCTGAAGCCCTGTGCTAAGCCAGGATAATTACCAGGAAAAATGCATTGGAATTAGATGTTCTCAGAAGACAAGTTATAAAACAGAGAGGCCAACCCCCAAC